ATGCGCGGAATTACTTGGCGATTAACATGTCGGATGCGACAACGACGCAGTAGTAGACCCCATATGACATAGCTCGAAACTAGCATCATCCCTGCATCATCCATTGCCATCATGATCCATTGCACCCTTCGCTCAACAGCTTTTAGACAGAGCCAATGTTTACTGTGGTCCTTAGATTAACGGTAGGGCTGTCTGTCGCTTTGGCTAGACCACGACCACATGTTTGGTGTGGACTCGGAACCGATAGGTTGATACTCTAGTAGGTCTCGTTGTGGTCCACAGGCCTATGTACACATTGTCATCCAAAAATGTAAACGACACGGTACACGATTCAATTATTACAACGACGACGACGACGACGAGACAGGACGATCATTGATGCTGGTTGTCCTGCTGCGACGACAGCTGATGCAGTGTGTCGGTCGACTGCGAGAGGAGCTTGGCGAGCATCGACTCAATCTCAGTGCGCGAAATATCCCGCTGGAGCTCGGGCGCTGCCGGTGGCGGTTCGAGCACGAGGGGCTTGTCTGTGTACACGACTTCGCACATGTCGACGTCAAAAGCCATGTGCCGGTCGAGGAGCGGCACCGCGTCGTCGTCGTCGTCGTCCATCTCATCGACCGTCATGATGCTGTCGGCGATCGGCCGCGCCTTCTTGACGACCACGGGCGCGGCATCGTCGACAACTGCGGGCGTCGCTGCGGCCACTGCTGCGGTCTTCTTCTGGGCAAGGCACGTCAGACAGACTGGCACGCGCGCGACCTTTTCCATCTCGGTGGCCGCCGCGCTCATGTGGACGGTCGCGGAGCGTTCGCAGTGCTTGCAGATGACTTCGCCGCACGTCCGGCAGTGGTGCTTGCGCAGAAACATGGAAAACTTGCTCTTGCACACAAAGCAGTTGTTGCGCTTCGCATCCGAGACCCACAGACTCCGATGCAGGAGGTCCTTGTCCGTAAACACGAGGTGCGACGGCGCGTGCTGCGACGGCGACGGCACGTCGTCGTGCTCGTGCTCGTGCGACCCGCTGTTGCTACTGACCGAGTGCGCTTTCGTGCGGACTTGGACCGTCGTCTCGAGCTTCTTCATGACGACGGACGCCAGCGTCTCGAGGATGCTTGGGTCACAAGCCGTCCGCGCATGCTGGTCCATGACGGCGACCGTTCCGAGGACGTGGCCGCTGCTGTGGACGATCGGCGCGCTCGCGTAGAACTGAATGTGCGCGCCGGTCACCATGGGGTTGTGCATGAAGCGGTCGTCGTCCCGGGTGTCGAGCACCACAAGCGGATCTTCGGACGCGAGCGCGTGGGCGCAGAACGACATGCTCCGCGGAATGCTCGTCTGCGCGAGCCCCATGCTCGACTTGAACCAATGCCGGTGCTCGTCGATGAAGCCGACGGTCACGATCCGGCACTGGAGCACCTTGGCGGCGATTTCGCAAATCGCATCAAACGTCACGTCCTTCCGCAGCAAGTCGAAGCTCTTGAGCACCATGAGCCGGTCGGCTTCGAACGGCAGCGTCGGCGGCTTGGGCCACTTGTGTTTCCAGCTATAGTCGAGCGCATACTCCATCGAGCTCGACGGACGGCGAATCAACGTCGGGGCGTCCTTGCCTCGCAGCGAGAGCTGAAAGAGGTTGGCCTCGCCGACGTCGTCTTCCGAGTAGACCGACATGTTGGAGCGGGACGAGTGCCGCCGGTGGAGCTCGGTCGACGACCGCAGCGACGACGACGTGCCGGTGCGGCGAAGCCGGTGCTCGGCTTCGAGGTGCGCGACGCACGA